GTTATGGGAAGACTACTTAACATACAATTGTTCATGAGCTTATACATAAACACAAACATAATGTAGTTCTACATCTAGAAATTACGTTAATTTTATTATTTTCTTTTTCCTAGAATAATGGTCTCAAAGCTCTTTGGTCACATTTTCCTATTGGTAAAAAATGTTGATCATTAGCTGGGCGCGATGGCTTAAGCCTGTAATCCCAGCACTCTGGGAGGCCTAGGCGGGTGGATCACGAGGTCAAAAGATCAAGACCATCCTGGTCAACGTGGTGAAACCCCGTCTCTACAAAATATACAAAAAAATTAGCTGGGCATGGTGGCATGTGCCTGTAATCCCAGCTACTCAGGAGGCTGAGGCAGGAGAATTGCCTGAACCCAGGAGGCGGAGGTTGCAGTGAGCCGAGATTGCACCATTGCACTCCAGCCTGGGTAACAAGAACGAAACTCCGTCTCAAAAAAAAAAAAATGTTGATCATATATTCCCATTAAATGTATGTTTATTTACAATTTATTATAAGTACACAGACACCTTAACTAATGTGTACATTAAAAACATTAACAAAAACTTACATTTTAAAAAACATGGGCTTTTCTGCCCGTGGACGCCGCCGAAGAAGCATCCTTAAAGTCTCTCTTCTCCCTGCGATCATGTCTAACTCAGAGTCTCCTAAAGAGCCGGAGCAGCTGAGGAAGCTCTTCATTGGAGGGTTGAGCTTTGAAACAACCGATGAGAGCCTGAGGAGCCATTTTGAGCAATGGGGAACGCTCACAGACTGTGTGGTAATGAGAGATCCAAACACCAAGCGCTCCAGGGGCTTTGGGTTCGTCACGTATGCAACTGTGGAGGAGGTGGACGCAGCCATGAATGCAAGGCCACACAAAGTGGATGGAAGAGTTGTGGAACCAAAGAGAGCTGTCTCAAGAGAAGATTCTCAAAGACCAGGTGCCCACTTAACTGTGAAAAAAATATTCGTTGGTGGCATTAAAGAAGACACTGAAGAACATCACCTAAGAGATTATTTCGAACAGTATGGAAAAATTGAAGTGATTGAAATGACTGACAGAGGCAGTGGCAAGAAAAGGGGCTTTGCCTTTGTAACCTTTGATGACCATGACTCCGTGGATAAGATTGTCATTCAGAAATACCATACTGTGAATGGACACAACTGTGAAGTTAGGAAAGCTCTGTCAAAGCAAGAGATGGCTAGTGCTCCATCCAGCCAAAGAGGTCGAAGTGGTTCTGGAAACTTTGGTGGTGGTCGTGGAGGTGGTTTCGGTGGGAATAACAACTTTGGTCATGGAGGAAACTTCAGTGGTCGTGGTGGCTTTGGTGGCAGCCGTGGTGGTGGTGGATATGGTGGCAGTGGGGATGGTTATAACGGATTTGGTAATGATGGAGGCAATTTTGGAGGTGGTGGAAGCTACAATGATTTTGGCAGTTACAACAATCAGTCTTCAAATTTTGGACCCATGAAGGGAGGAAACTTTGGAGGCAGAAGCTCTGGCCCCTGTGGTGGTGGCGGCTAATACTTTGCCAAACCACGAAACCAAGGTGGCTATGGCGGTTCCAGTAGCAGCAGTAGCTATGGCAGTGGCACAAGATTTTAATTAGGAAACAAAGCTTAGCAGGAGAGGAGAGCCAGAGAAGTGACAGGGAAGCTACAGGTTACAACAGATTTGTGAACTCAGCCAAGCACAGTGGTGGCAGGGCCTAGCTGCTACAAAGAAGACATGATTTGGACAAATACTCATGTGTATGGGCACAAAATTCGAGGACTGTATTTGTGACTAATTGTATAACAGGTTATTTTAGTTTCTGTTCTGTGGAAAGTGTAAAGCATTCCAACAAAGGGTTTTAATGTAGATTTTTTTCTTTTTCTTTATCTTTTTTTCTTTTTTTTTTTTTTGCATCCATGCTGTTGATTGCTAAATGTAATAGTCTGATCGTGACGCTGAATAAATGTCTTTTTTTAAAAAAAATAAAAATTAAAAAAATAAAAAACATGGTAAACAAATTAGAGGGAGACAGCTGGGCAGGGTGGCTCACGCCTGTAATCCCAGCACTTCAGGAGGCCAAGGCAGGCAGATCACAAGGTTGGAAGTTCAAGACCAGCCTGACCAACATGAAGAAACCCTGTCTCTACTAAAAATACAAAAAATTAGCCAGGCATGGTGGCGCAATGAGAGCGAAATTCCATCTCAGGTACCTGTATCCCAGTTACTCAAGAGGCTGAGGCAAGAGAATTGCTTGAACCCAGGAGGTGGAGGTTTCAGTGAGCCAAGATCACACCACTGCCCTCCAGCCTGGGCGACAACAGCAAAACTCTGCCTCAAAAAAAAAGAAAGAAAATAAGGGGGAGACATTCTAATGCTTTTCCTCCACCCACCCCAAAAGATTATTTTGTGCATCCCAGGGTGCATCTGTCTCACTTAGACATTGTTCTAGAATATATCAGTTAAAGCTGCTGAAGGATCTCAGACATGTGTTCTGTTGAAGTGCCTACACGTTCACCAAACTTAATGAAAACAGTTAAAATGGTCCTTGACTTCAGCTTCCAGAACTGTTAGAAGTTCCTTAATTCACACACAAAGCAATAAAACTGACCCCAATAAAACACATTAGCCTCAATCCTAAGCAGTTTTTGATAACCATAATCATAGGCTAATTTGCAGAGCCTCTGAACTTAGCAATTGTGGCACTAATGTACATGAGACTATCTACCACAAAAAATCAAGTAATCTAGGGAGAAAAAAATGGGAGAGGGTATGTGTAGCAATTTTTTTTAAGTCACAAAATAGTTTCTGACTTAAAAAATGTGTAAAAAGATATGATTAGGACAATACAAAACTAAACCTGTTATCTACAGTCTTTTTAGGATTAGTCTCTGTTGGATATAGTGTAATGACTTTCCTATCCGGCTTCAAACCACTCAAAGCTAGCACTAGAAAGACCCTTGCCAAAGTTTAAAGGTTTCACGTGAGAGTTTTAGTAAACTTAGTAAAACTTAGTTTTACTAAGAGAAAAACTAAGATAAGCGGAACCTCTCTTTTCGTTCATAAGTGTCTACAGTGTGCTGGATATCAGGGATGATACAAAGTTAAATGAGACCATGGCTTTTAAGATCAATGACATTTTTGTTTTTTTGAAACTGAGTCTCACTCTTGTCACCCACGCTGTAGTGCAGTGGCGCAATCTCAGCTTACTGCAGCTTCCACCTCCTGGGTTCAAGTGATTCTCCTGCCTCAGGCTCCCTAGTAGCTGGGATTACAGGCAGCTGCCACAACACCCGGCTAATTTTTGTATTTTTTTTTTTTTTTTATAAGATGGTGTTTCACCATGTTGGTCAGGCTGGTCTTGAACTCCCGACCTCAGGTGATCCTCCCGCCTTGGCCTCCAAAGTGCTTGGATTACAGGCGTGAGCCACTACGCCTGGCCAATTTTTGTATTTTTAGTAGACATGGGTTTCACCATATCAGCCAGGCTGGTCTCGAACTCCTGACCTCAGATCCACCTGCCTTGGCCTCCCAAAGTGTTGAAATTACAGGCATGAGCCACCAAGCCTGGCCAGTGACATTTAGAAATTAATAATCTGATCATGGAGAAAGTTCATACTTATGAATAGAATACCAAAAGTATTGCTGTAGAAGAAGGCTACTAGAAGAAATGATTTGATGTGGATGATGAAGATGCATTGTAATTCAGGAAGAAAGGAAGGAGAAGAGGAGGATGATAAACATAAAAAGGTCAGGGAAAGAGAAAACCAACACAGTACCTAATTGGATCCTTTCATATGTATATATTAATGTAATCATACATATCATCATCTCCCAGAAAGCCATATGAGATAGCCATTATCAACTAGGCACCGTGGCTCATGCCTGTAATCCCAGCACTTTGGGAGGCTAAGGCAGGTGGATCACAAGGTTAGGAGTCAGAGACCAGCCTGGCCAACGTGGTGAAACCCCTGTCTCTACTAAAAATACGAAAATTAGCTGGGTGTGGTAGTGGGTGCCTGTAATCCCATCTACTTGGGAGATTGAGGCAGGAAAATCACTTGAACCTGGGAGGCAGCGGTTGCAGTGAGCCAAAATCACGCCACTGCACTCCAGCCTGGACGACAGAGCAAGACTCATCTCGAAAAAAAAGAAATAGCCCTTATCCCCACTTAACTGGTGAAAAAAGTGTGAATTAAGAAAGTTAAGTAACTTGTACAAATCAGACACACAGTTATTTGCTGGAGAGTTGAATTAAGAGGTGCATTAGCTGGATAGTTACTAAAAATGAATGCAACTTAGATGATACCAAAATGTCACTGGATTATTATTTGTAAGGATACAGAGGAGTTTTATTTACCAGAACTATTCTTAGGGAACATAGTATATGTGTTGGGAAAATAGAGAATATATAAGTTGTTTGGTGTGCCAGTAGAATGAAGATCCCCTCGGGGTATGCTGGATAGCTGGCTGTGAAACTCTTCAAAAGAAGATGCTTTCCTAAATGGTATCTGCACATTTTCCTGTAATACTCAGGAGTACCAGCCTTTATTTTCTTTTTCTTTTTCTATACCAACAAGAATGAGCTTGGAAAGCCTCATCCTTAAATCAATGTTAAACAGTTATTTGAGGACTATCAGTGAAGAGGAGCCCCAGTTGTTCTGAGTACGCATACATGGGTTGATACTAAATCTGCTTAACTTCAAAGTTAGTACCCTTGGTTGTGTACCCTGCTGCCTCTAACATGTGACTGAAATGCAGACAGACAGATAGGTAGATAGATACAGAGATGGGAAAGAATTGTGAATGGTGGTTCTAAAGATTGTGCTACTGGTAGTCTTATCACAGGAGTATCTTGGTGTTGTGTTTTCTTCAACTTTGTATCATAATCACACATTTTCAGGCAGCTTAAATCCTTTAAGGAACAAAAACAGGATAAGAATGAATGAATAAATAGGTCTCCACTGTTAAAGAAATCTACCACTATATATTTGTTATCCTCAGGAAATTACTACAATCAAGGAGAGACTCGTAAGAAAGAACTTTTGCAGAGCTGTGATGTTTTGGGGATTCCACCCTCCAGTGTAATGATTATTGACAACAGGTAATATATTTTTTTAACAATGTAGAAATTTATTGGCAATAAATATGCAGTGGTATACTCAAAAGACACCCAAAAAACTAATGTGAGTGGCTAAGAACATCTTGTATGAAAAGTCTAAGTGTGGTGTGGTGGCTCACACCTGTAATCCCAACACTTTGGGAGGCGGAGGCCGGTGGATTGCTTGAGGTCAGGGGTTTGAGATCAGCCTGACCAACATGGTGAAATGCTGTCTCTACTAAAAATACAAGAATTAGCTGGGTGTAGTGGAGCATGCTTGTAATCCCAGCTACTCAGGAGGCTGAGGCAGGAGAATCACTTGAACCTGGGAGGCAGAAGTTGCAGTGAGCCAAGATCAAGCCATTGCACTCCAGCCTGGGTGACAGAGTGAGACTCCATCTCAAGAAAAAAAACAAAAAACCAAGGCCGGACATGGTGATTCATGCCTGTAATCCCAGACTTTGGGAGGCCAAGGCAGGCAGATCACGAGGTCAGGAGATCAAGACCATCCTGGACAACATGGTGAAACCCCATCTCCACTAAAAATACAAAAGATTAGCTGGGCATGGTGGCGCGTACCTGTAGTCCCAGCTACTTGGGAGGCTGAGGCAGGAGAATTGCTTGAACCCAGGAGGCAGAGTTTGCAGTGAGCTGAGATCTCGCCACTGCACTGAGCAACAGCCTGTGCGACAGTACTAGACTCCATCTAAAAAAAAAAAAAGGAAAGAAAAAGAGGCTGGGTGTGGTGGCTCACGCCTGTAATCCCAGAACTTTGGGAGGCCAAGGCAGGTGGATCAGGAAATCAAGACCAGCCTGGCCAACATGGTGAAACCTCTTCTCTACTAAAAATACAAAAACTTAGCCAGGTGTGGTACTGGGCACCTGTAATCTCAGCTACTTGGGAGACTGAGGCAAGAGAATCACTTGATCATGGGAGGCAGCAGTTGCAATAAGACAAGATCACGCCATTGCACTCTAGCCCTGGCGATAGTGCAAGACTCTGTCTCAAAAAAAAAAAAAAAGAAAGAAAGGAAAAGAAAAGTCTACATAAAATAATTTCACATTTGTTTTTAACTGACAGCGTAATTCAAATAAATTTTTTAACTTCTGTTCGGATTTTTTTTTCCTGACATGGCTACTTCTCTTTACATCTATAGCTTTTAAAAAGTTTTATTATGGCCGGGCGCAGTGGCTCACGCCTGTAATCCCAATACTGTGGGAGGCTGAGGCAGGTGGATCACGAGGTCAAGAGATGGAGACCATCCTGGCCAACCTGGTGAAACCCCATCTCTACTAAACATACAAAAATTAATGGGTCGTGGTGGTGGGTGCCTGTAGTCCCAGCTATTTGGGAGGCTGAAGCAGGGGAATCGCTTGAACCCGGGAGGCGAAGGTTGCAGTGAGCCGAGATCACGCCACTGCACTCCAGTCTGGTGACAGAGCAAGATTCCATCTCAAAAAAAAAAAAAAAAAAAAAAGTTTGGAATTGGAAGTTTTGTTTAAAAGGGAACAAAAAAAAAGAAAGAAAAAAGACAAAAAGTTTTCTTAAAAATTTCAAAACAACACAAAAGTATAAAGAACAATATTACAAATCCCCATGTGCCTATTACCTAAACTCAGTATTGTCAAGATTTCGCTATACAGTGCTTGTTTCTTCATCTGTCCCTTACTTAACATCTTTTGTATATAAGAAGCATTTAAAAAAAAAAAAATCCAGTCATCAGGTTTTTTACCCCTAGATAACTTAGGTCTGTGTCTCTTAAGAAGATGGGACAGTTTTCATATAGCTATAGCCATTATCAGTACATTAAACCATATTTTTTTCTTTTTTCTTTTTCTTATTATTTTACAGTTAACCATATTAACAATAGGGTTACTATTGTAATTACTATTAAATTACTGTTATTGTCAGTATTGTTAATTTGATGGGGTGTTCTGTTATGAACACCCAATTCATATCAGAATTTATTTTTTTTTAACTTTTTTATTTTTTTCTCTATTTAAAAAAAGAGATGGGGTCTTGCTATGTTGCCCAGGCTGGAGTGCAGTGGCTATTCACAGGCGTGATCCCACTATTGATCAGCACGTGAGTTTTGATCTGCTCTGTTTCCGACCTGGGCCGGTTCACCCTTCCTTAGGCAACCTGGTGGTCTCCCACTCCCGGGAGGTCACCATATTGATGCCAAGCTTAGTGGGGATACCTGATCGGCATAGCACACTACAGCCCAGAACTCCTGGCCTCAAGCGATCCTCCCACCTCAGCCTCTCAAGTAGCTGGGACTACAGGCACGCGCCACCATACCCGGCCATATCAGAATTTCTTTAGGTAGCTCAAAAATTTCTTTTCACAGTTGGTTTACTCAAATCAGGATTTTGACAAAGACCACATATTATATAGTTGGTTGATATTCTGCATTTAATTCCCCTTTTCTCCATTCATTGGTGGATTTGTTGAAGAAACTGAATTATGTTGTCATACAGAATGTCCTCCATTCTGGATGTGTCTGTTTGTTTCCTGGATGTCTAAGTTCACGCCTAGGCTGGAGTGCAGTGGCATGATCTCGACTTGCTGCAACCTCTGCCTCCATGGGTCAAGCGATTCTCTCACCTCAGTCTCCCAAGTAGTTGGGATTACAGGCACTCACCACCACACCTGGCTAATTTTTTGTATTTTTAGTAGAGATGGGGTTTCATCATATTGGCCAGGCTGGTCTCGAACTCCTGACCTCAGGTGATCCGCCCGACCCAGCCTCTCAAGGTGCTGGGATTACAGGCATGAGCCACCGTGGCCAGCTTTTTTTTTTTTCTTTGCACACTGCAAATCAGATTTGGGTCTAACTTTTTGGGGGTCAAGAATACTTCATTGGCTGTGCTATGTACTTTGTATCATATCAGAAGACGTGTACTATCTGGTTGACCTATAGTGAATCTACAGTTGATCAGCGAGTTCAGATAGCAGTGACTCCCTTTATTTTAAAGACCCCCATTAACCTTTCATATGTTCTCATGACTATTGCCTGAATCATTAGTAAGCTAGAAGTTGCAAAATGCTGAGTTTCCAATTGTCTCACATATTCTATGTGTACTAGCTGTAATTCTTTTGTAAAACAGAACCTTCACTATTAATTGGGGCTACTTAGTTACCTTGCTGTGTATAATAATATGAAACAAAAAGACAGGATAGATGCTTAATTTTTTCCCTTTGATCAATATTTTCAGAATAAAGAGTCAATACCCTGTGTACCTACAGTTGTGATCTATTGTTTATCTGTTTCTTTAATGGGGAGGACACTTTTAACTTTCATTAGGAACTTAGGTTTTTTTCTGTATTTGGTGTTTCAGGTTCAGTCATATGTTAATACTAAATTGTCTCATGTTTGGCCTGTGAGTCTCTTCCTGTTGGCTTATATGTCCTTTTGACATAATCTCTGTCTTTTATGATTTCCTTCCTTGCTTTCAAGTAAAATAAGACTTTCCAGTACTATCTTGCATGCTTTCCTGCTCCAGTTCTGAAATCAGCCATTTCTCCAAAGAGCCTTTGTTTGTCTTAGTAGTGAATGGTATTTAGAGGACATAACCAGCATAGTAGGAGTGTTCATTGCTATAGCGTCATTATTTCTCATTGCTGCTTGAACCTTTATAGTGGACAGAGCTAGGATGTATGTTTTCTGTGTGCTTTCAATTTTTTAGAGACAGGATCTAACTGTTACCCAGGGTGGAGTGAAGTGGCGTGATCATAATTCATTGTAGCCTTGAACTCCTGGGTTCAGGCAGTCCTCCTGCCTCAGCCTCCTAAGTAGCTGGGACTACAGGCACGTGCCACCACACCTGGCTAATTTTTTTTTTTTTTTGACATGGAGTTTCACTCTGTCACCGAGGCTGGAATGCAGTAGCTCTATCTCAGCTCACTGCAACCTCTGCCTCCCAGTTTCAAGTGATTCTCTTGCCTCAGACTTGAGTAGCTGGGATTACAGGCATGCACCACCATTCCTGGGTGATTCTTTTATTTTTAGTAGAGACAGGGTTTCAGCATGTTGGTCAGGCAGGTCTTGAACTCCTGACCTTGTAATCAATCTCCCCACCATGACCTCTCAAAGTCCTGGGATTACAGGTGTGAGCCACCGTGCCAGGCCACACCTGGCTAATTAAAAAAAAATTTTTTTTTAAGACAGAGTTTTGCTCTTGTTGCTGGGCTGGAGTGCAGTGGCCTGATCTCAGCTCACCACAACCTCTGCCTCCCAGGTTCAAGCATTTCTCCTTCCTCAGCCTCTCTAGTAACTGAGATTACAGGCATGCACCACCACACCCGGCTAATTTTGTATTTTTAGTAGCAACAGGGTTTCTCCATGTTCATCAGGCTGGTCTCGAACTCGTGACCTCAGGTGATCCACCCACCTTGGCCTCCCAAAGTGCTAGAAAATTTTTTTTTTTTTTTTTTTTTTTAGATGGAGTCTTGCTCTATCTCCAGGCTGGAGTACAGTGGCACAAGCTTGACTCACTGCAACCTCCGCCTCCTGGGTTCAAGTGATTCTTCTGCCTCAGCCTCCCGAGTAGCTGGGACCACAGGCACGTGCCACCATGCCCAGCTAATTTTTTTTTTATATTTTTAGTAGAGATGGGGTTTCACCAAGTTGGCCAGGATGGTCCCGATCTCTTGACCTCATGATCCGCCCACCTTGGCCTCCCAAAGTGCTGGGATTACAGGCGTGAGCCACCACACCCGGCATTTTGTTTTGTTTTGTTTTTAAGACAGAGTCTTGCTGTGTCACCCAGGCTGCAGTATAGTGGCATGATCTTGGCTCACTGCAACCTCTGTCTCTCAGATTTTTTTTTTTTTTTTTTTTTGAGATGGAGTTTCGCTCTTGTTACCCAGGCTGGAGTGCAATGGCGCGATCTCGGCTCACCGCAACCTCCGCCTCCTGGGCTCAGGCAATTCTCCTACCTCAGCCTCCTGAGTAGCTGGGATTACAGGCATGCGCCACCACGCCCAGCTAGTTTTTTGT